GATATGCAGTCTTTTTTTTTTTTTTTTAAACTTTTTATTTTGGAATAATTCTAGACTTACAAAAAGTTGCAAAATTCGTTCACAGAACTCCTGTATACACTTCACCTAACTTCACTTAAAGGTAACATCTTACACAGCCTATAGTGTAATGATCTGAACCAGGAACTCAACCTTGTACGGTACTGTTAACAATCTGCAGACCTTGTTTGAATTTCACCTGTTGTCCTAGCACGAATGTCCTTTCTTCCTGCCTATTTTGCATTTAGTTGTCAGATCTTCTCAAATCACTTCAGCCTGGGATAGTTCCTTGGTCTCTCCTTGTCTTCCATGACCCTGACACTTTTGTAGAGTATTGCTGGCCTGGCGGTTACTTTTTAGAAGTCCCTCAAAGCTTGTAGAAAGATTCTTTGAGACTATGCAAATATCCTGTTTCTCCCCATCTTTTCATTCACTGATTTTTGTATCTATCATGATTTTTGTCTGTAATAGTTACTACGGTAGTGTTTGCCAAGCGGTGATTTTCTGTCTCTGTTATTCTTCTGCATGTATTCATTGGAGTTTTACTAAAAGGAAGAGCTGTCCGTTCTTCAACATTAATTTACTTATTCAGCTATTCATATCAGTATGGACTCATGGATATTTATTTTATTTGATAGATTATGTAATATATCACTATTTTTTTGATACAAAAATTGTTTTAGGTGGCTCTTCATGTAAAAGATACCTGATTTCCTCATCACGTATAATTTGAGAATATGTGTCTTATGCAGTATATGCTGTAAAGTTAAATGCATGGAGGTACTTAAAAAATTGCTAAAACTGATTGATAACACAGCAGATCATTTATAAAGTTCACTTGGCCTCAGAGTTCAAAGAGTGCTTCCTACTTGCCATTTTCCTGACCTCAGTTTCATTTAAATGTTTCCCTAGAGGCAAACGTGTTCTATATGTGGCATTTTTTGTTGTCAGCCATCTTCATGGTAACATTGCTTCTGCTGACTGAGGGGTATGAGCTACAAATTGAGGAGGGATGGAATAGAGTCAGAGATGATGGTGAGGGTGCGAGGGGGCCAGATTCGTAGGCTGGAGGTGTTGAGGGTGATGAGTAGTGATTCTAGATTGAATCTTTGCATTCTATGGTCATGGGAACTGGGCAGATATTATGGGGCATAGGAGGGAAAGAATGAGGTCTGTTTTCAGGTTGTTCATCTGGGTTGGCTGGAGGACTTTTCCAATGTAAGTGGCATTCTTCACAGTGTGCCCTTGGAACCGTTTTGTGGGAGTGGCTCTTTTACACATCATAGGAAACCCATGGCTGCAAGTGGAAGACACTGCATGAGAAGGGGGCCGAAGCTGCGCTGAGAGCTGCCAGACTGAGCCTGTGCTCCTAGCCCTGGGATCTGCGGACTACTGTCTTAGTCTTTAAAGTTGTTTCTCATCTTAATTTGGGAACAAAGAAATAGTGCAGTTTTAAGGGCAGAGCAATCTTGTTTAAAATCTCCCCTCTTGAGCTGGTATTTCACAGAAAGCTTGGGTGTGGCCCTGCTGGCTGAGGATTGGGTGCTTGTTAGGCCAGCCTGCGAGCCTGCTGACAGTCTCTTCTGGCTCCCTAAAGGAGATTGCTCCAGCTCTTACTTTTACTCTGTGTTGAGATTGAAAGATACTCGTTCCTAGAGGAAGTGATAAGCCTATTTGCTTTCTTCCCCCAAGCTATGAGGAAGCTGGTTGTGCTCTATTTTTTTTTTATTGTTATTCTTACCAATTCAACTTCTAGCGATATAAAAACTGAAAAAACTAGGACTTAGGACATCAGTCCAGGCTTGCCTGATCTTTGGAGAGTTGCTGGTGCCTTTATAAAGTCTGGTTGAGCGGCTGGCTGTCTTGGTGAAACGCCCTGACTCGTGTCCTTGCCTGTTCGTGACAGCTGACCTTGATCGTAATTTGTGTTAAATGTGTGAGCACTGTCTTTATTGTGTCCTACTTAAGGTTTTCAATTTTGTGAATTACTCATTCTAAACATGTATCTCATTTTCATCATTTCCATAAATGAAAACTGTAGATATGTCATTCGAAAAATCTGTGCTTTTAGCCGTGTTCTTGTTTTGTTAAGTTATAGATCACATGGAGGCTTCACCTTCTGAGAATTTAGTACTCTTCATTTTTTCTATTTTGTCTAGCTTTAGTTCTAGTGGCTTTTGGAGGACTGAAGAAATGAAATGGGCCAGGTACAGTGGCTCATGCCTGTAATCTCAGCACTTTGGGAGGCTGAGGTGGGCGGATCACCCGAGGTCAGGAGTTCGAGATCAGCCTGACCTACAGGGTGAATCCCTGTCTCTACTAAAAAATATAAAAATTAGCTGGGCATAGTGGCATGCGCCTGTAGTTCCAGCTATTTGGGAGGCTGAGGCACGAGAATTGCTTGAACCTGAGAGGCGGAGGTTGCAGTGAGCCGAGATTGCACCACTGCACTCCAGCTTGGGTGACAGAGTAAGACTCTGTCTTTAAAAAAAAAGGAAAGAAAGAAATGAAATGCTTTTTCTCTGTATTTGGGGTTCTGCCCGGCCTCGGTGGTGTGTGTCCCTGCCTTGGAGTCTGGGGGAGGGTGCCTGTAGAGTACACTGGGGTATCCACCTGAGGCAGCTGTGAGTTCCCGGGTCAGATGCCGGCACCTCCAGCCTGCCCTGGGGACTGGCGATGCTTCTGCTCTGTCTTCCTCGCTGACCCTTCTCACTGGAAGCCCTCCTGCTAAACCGTGGCCGCCTTCCTCCTCCTTATCTCTTTACCTAACTATGGTCCTTGGCCCCTTTAGGAAAACTTTTGCTTTTGTCAGTCAGTTTGGGAACTGATGTCTAGCAAAGTGATGCACGTTGTCTAAAAGCTTTGCACTTTACCTGTGACCCAGGTGGTTGCAGGCACCCAGGGAGTAGAGGCACCCATAGGGGCACAGAAAACAGACTTTAAGGGCAAACACTTACCATGGAGTCCCGAGTGATGGGACTTGGGGCTGGCATCCTAACCAAGGAAGGAAAGAAAGTGACTATGTATGGCAGTGCCTGCTATGTGCTGAGCACTGTGAGACTTTTCTTACTTTCTAGTCTTATATAAGGAGGCATCTGGAACTACACCTTCCTAGAATAATCTCAGACAGAATTAATCAAATTAGAAGAAACCTCCAATACCAGGTCTAGGCTTCGCTGATACTTTAATTTGTGTACCGAGAAATCAGAACAGAGGCCAGAAATACAGGGCTTCCTTCTAAGACAGTGTTGATCGGCACTCCGAATGCCAGTGGTGGGCTTAGGGCCCTAACAGAGGCTCCCTAACCCTCACCATTCCTCCAGAACTGGGCATTATCCCCATTTTATAAGCGAGGAAGCAGGCGTAGGAACAGGAAAGCTCGCCAGAGCCACCGAGTAGCCCAGTCAAGGCGGAAGCTCAGACCTATCTGACCCTTGACACAGTTTCTCCTCTCTGTCTCCTCTGTCTCCACAGGCCTGTCCTGTTCTGTGAGTCCTTCTCTCTCCTACTCCAGCCCCAGCTTTACTCATCCTGGGTCTTCCCTACAAGTCTGATCAATGAGAACTTTGTGAAAATCCCTAGAATTTATAAACAAAAGAAACTTCAAAAAATTCCTTTTTGAAACCTGCTTTAAAACAGAACCTAAGATCTTCCCTATCCTCTGGGACAGAATTTTTAGACCTTATTTTTAATCTGTGTGATAGAAGAAGGAACCTGCTAATATTTTTGAGGTGACCCTGAATAAGTACCCTATGAGAACACTTCCATGTTAAACACATTTGTAATCACTCACGTTTGTTAATATTGGTGTGTCCACACTGGTGTCCCTGAAGAACTTTGCTGTTTTTGTCATTTCTTATGATCTAAATGATTTAGACTGCAACCATCCCATGGCCTCCCTTTGTAGCTATCATCTACTCTTAGGGAAGAAAACAGAGGTGATAAAAGCATAAAAAGGAGGAAGGGGTAGAGGAACCTCCAGGACATCAGTTATTATTAATATCTAACTTTGAATCTGGTGGAGTCAGGGACCTCTTAGCAGCCCAGTGTGAATGCACAGTTATGACTTTTCACCCCTACTGCATTTTAATGTCAAGTGGCTTAACTAGTTGAACCTGAGTGAATTTATAGTGAGTTGGTAAAATGATTGCCTTAACAGAAATGGTGGTGCTTTGTAGACAGAGAGTGAGGGCATAGCATATTCTGTTGCCGTTAGTTTATAAGGTGCCATTGATTAGACCATGTTCAGGTCCAGTCTTCCTGACTTCTTTGAATTTGAGAGCCCAAGTATTGGTGAGTCTTGGCTGCTGGTATTCAGTTGGGATATTTGCAAAGGAGGATTAGATAACTTTCTGCATTTGCATCACATTATCACCTTTACTGGAATTGATATGGCCTGAACACTATTTTTGAATATTTTTTGCTTAATTTGAATCCTTGTGGGCTTAGAGTCTACTCCAGGTGGACCATATCTTTTACCATCATGGAAGTTTTAAAAACTTTCCTTCTCTTATTTTTTCATTTTTTCAAGATTATTAAAAACATTTTCTTTAAAGTCTGGCTCTATTACCCAGGCTGGAGTGCAGTGGCCCTGTCTGGGCTTACTGTAGCTTCTGCCTTCCAGGCTTAAGCCATCTTCCCACCTCAGTGCATACCACCATGTCCGGCTAATTTTTATATTTTTTTTGTAGAGATGATTTTTTACCATGTTGCCCAGACTGGTCTCTAACTCGTGAGCTCAAGCGATCCGCCCACCTTGGCCTCCCAACGTGCCAGGATTACAGGTGTGAACCACCGCACCTGACCCCTGGGTGGTGTTTTGATACATATAATGTATAAGATCAGATCAGGATAATTAGCATAGCATCATCTCAAACGTTTTCATTTCTTCGTGTTGGGAACATTCAGTATCCTCCTCCTTGCTCTCTGAAACTATATAATGTATTACTGTTAACCATGGCCATCCTACAATGCCATGGGACAAAAATATGGAACTCTTGACTAGTTTATGTGTCATCCATGTGCAAGTACCATGTTCATCTTCCTGTTATTATTCCAATTTTAGTATATGTGCTGCCTAAGTGAGCACGGAAATTCATTTTAGCTGTAAGTTTTTACTGGGCAGATTATCCAAGAAAAGTGCCCATGTAATCCAATAGTTCTGAAATAGCCTTGTGAATGGCAGATCCTCTGACCTCTCTGTCTGTTCTGCACCCAGCCTGCCAGCTTTGGCTTTTCCACTTAGGTTTTTTTGGAATGCAGTGGACCCCAGAACAACAGGACTTTAGATTTCAAGCTTGTGACCCAGTAGCTCAGTCTGGCCAGGTTAAATTGGAATCTTAGATTCCCTGTAGAAAGGGTCTATGAATGTCTGCCAACAAGGCTGTGTGGGAGTAAAGAAGGTGATATCCGTGATGGGCCTAGCGTTCAAGGACTGAACCCTGTACTGATACAGGAGCTGTGTACTCCTTCCAGAAGTCATGGCTCCACTCATGATCTGAAATTTTGCAAGGCAGCCCTTTCCAGTGTGAGAAGACTATAGTTAGAAAGCAGTTCCTTATGTAGAGGCAAACTAGGCCTCCCTGTAACCTTCATCTTATAGTTTTGTTTCTGGCTTTTAGAGCAGGAGAGTGAATCTCATCTTCTGCAGCATGAGAGTTCTTTTTACTCACCAGCTGAAGCATTCATAACCTCTGTCAAGCACCTGCTTGGAATTGCACGTTTATACAATTAATCAGAATAAGTCCTGTATTCTGTTGCTCACATTCTAATCATCTATAATTAATTCAGCAAAAAGTGATATGTCAGGACACAGATTAAAAACAAACTCATGGGACCTGGCACAGTGGCTCACGCCTATAATCCCAGCACTTTGGGAGGCTGAGGTGGGCGGATCATGAGGTCAGGAGTTTGAGACCAGCCTGGCCACATGGTGAAACCCCACCTCTACTGAAAATACAAAAATCAGCCAGGCATGTTGGCGTGCGCCTGTAATCCTAGCTACTCAGGAGGCTGAGTCAGGAGAATTGTGTGAACCTGGGAGGCAAAGGTTATAGTGAGCTGAGATCGTGCCACTGCACTCCAGCCTGGGCTTCAGAGTGAGACTACATCTCAAAAAAAAAAAAAAAAAAAAAAAAAAAAAATCATGGGAGTTCAGAGAAGGAAGACTGCTTTTATGGAGAAATTTGAGGAGGATGTTTTATTTTTGTTTTCAAATGAAAAAAAGTGGCATTTGGAGAAAATTTTCATGATGTAAATAATAACCCACATTTGTTTAGAGCTTTGTAAAATGTGTTCATATCCAGCTTCACAGTTCGTCCTCATGATAACCTTGTAATATAGGTATGTAACTCTCAGGAGATAAGAAAGTGAGGCTCAAAGCGGTGACTTGGACAAGGCAGATGGGGTCTGTGCCACAACATCAGAGCCCCTGTCCATGTCAGGGTGTTTGGTCGGTGGGCGTTCTTTGGGCCGTTGTTCAGTGTCTTAGAGATGTGCCTGGGTATTCACTCCCCTCTTACCTGGCAGTCAGTACCTGTCAGCATGTACAGCTGACTCTTGAACACCCCATGCAGTTGAAATCCATATAACTTCTAACTCCCCAGAAACTTAACTACTAATGAATACTGTTGGCCTGAGGCCTTAGCAATACAGTACCGCCAACAGTTGATTAACACATATGTTGTCTGCTAAATGTATTTTATACTGTATTCTTGCAATAAAGTAAGCTGGAGAAAATCATAAGAGAAAATATATTTTCTGTTAATTAGTGGGAGTGGGTTATCATCAAGGTCTACATCTTCGTCATTGTCACATTGAGTAGGTGTAGAAGGAGGAGGAGGAGGAGAAGGGGTGGGCCTTGCTGTCTCAGGAGTGGCAGATCTGGAAGAAAATCTGTGTATAAGTGGACCCACTCAGTTCAAACCCGTGTGGTTCAAGGGTCATCTGTATATTCTTTCATTTGTCTGACTTCCCCGTTTGAATGTAAGCCCACCGAGGACAAGAACTTAGCTTTTTTCTCATCTAGAATGTGCCTAACACAGAGATGGTGTCCATGATTGTCTGTTGAATGAATAAATCAGTCAGTAGCCAAACAGCAAACAACTAATATTTGATAAAACTCAGCCAGAAACTGTGTATTTCATTTCATTCTTTTAATAACTCAGTGAGAAAGTATGACTACTTTTCTTTTACCGAGGAACTGAGACTCCCTGAAGTTTCTCAGCCAGGAAGTGGCTAGGTTGGGGATCCTTCAGATCTGATGTAGAGCTGGTGTGCTCAGTCAGCATGCTACGCCCTCCACGGTTGCTTCATACTCAGAGTTCATTCCCTGGGCATCTGCACACTAAAGGTCATGGTTTTTTGGTCCAGAGAGATTGGGAATGTTTAAAATGCCTGGGGGCTTTCTTACCATGATTTCTGTCACTTTAGATTTGTTTTCCTTAGCCATGACTCTGTCACCCAGTCCTGGCCACTCTTCTCTCTTCCAAAGGGTCTCTGTGTTCTTGATGTCAATGTGGCATCACTAAGGGGCTCTTTTTGGAATATAAATGGTGGCTTTTCCTTACACTTAGAACAAACTCAGAGGGCTGGGCTGCCCGGATGGCTGTGCCCCTGCTCCGGTCTCAGCAGGGGCTGCGGCCTCAGCAGGGGCTGCCTCCTCCCTCACTGCAGTCCACTCCTCCCTCCGGACACAATCAGGGTCCAGGACTCCCGAGCCTCTTCTGCCTCAGGGCTTTGCTGTGGACTGCCTGCCTGCCTGCCGCAGGCTTATTTGTGTTCTTCTAGCCTTGGCATAAAGTCTTTTCTGACCGCAAAGAAGTCCCCCTGATGTCTGTGCTAGTGTGCTATTTTGTCCCTTTACAGATGTGTCACTGCCTGTGATTGCTTTTGTGTTTGTCATCTGTCCCCTTCCCTGGAGTTTGAGGTTTACGAGTGGGGCCTTTCTCTCCTTGGGCACCATGGTGGCACTGCTGCCTGGCCTAGTGCCTAGGAAGTGGACTGCCTTGAGGGAGGAGGCAGCACCTGATGAGGCCGCAGCAGGGGCACAGCCATCTGGGCAGCTCAGCCCTCTGAGTTTGTTCTAAGTGTAAGGAAAAGCCACCATTTATATTCCAAAAAGAGCCCCTTGGTGGCACCTCACACAGGAGGGCTCAGGCAGCACTGGTTGAGTGGGGAACCGACTGCCTTGTTCTCCACGTGTAAGGCATGCTCTCTGAGGGCGGTGAGCCCTCTGTGCACACAGAAGCGCCTGATTAGGTCCTGTGGTTCAGTCATGCTGTAAGGAGATATAAAAGGAGTGAAGTCCAGTCCATCCGCTGCACCCCATGCTGTGTTCCCACCAGGCTGGGGCCTCACAGACAGACAGCTTTTCTCAGGTTGTACAGAGGTCCCTGTTGGACACTTTTGTCCCTCTATGATGGTTTTACCCCTACTGGGATGAACACTTAAACCTGAGAGGATCTCCGAGAAGCAGCTTAGGTGAGGATTGCTGAGGGTGTGACAGTGTACTTTCACTCTGCTCAGAGACCTCTTTGGCACTGAGCATCAGTGTTCCTGCCCTTTCTTTCTCTGTCTTTCAAGAGATGAAATCCACAGTGAGGGGGGAATTTATCAGATCCTCAGCTTTTAGCAGATTTAATGGAGCAGCTCTCCTGATAACTGGTTTGTGTTCTTGTGGGCTATTGTATTTTTCTCTTTGCTTTTTTTTTTAAAAAGTGCTTTCTATATTCTCCAAAAGATGGGGTGATATGAAATATACTTAATTTATATATAAATATATAAAACACATTTAAATTTAAACATTTATATGTATATTTCATATATTTATATAAATTTTTATATTGATATAAATACATTTTAGAATATATACGTAATGAGTTTTGCTGAATGGTTCTCCTGTGGTTCAGTCGTAGGTGCTATAAGGAGATAAAAAATCAACATGAGGTCCTTGCCTTGTAGAAGTTTACCATTGGAAATAGAAGGAAAACAAGCAGGAAATGTTGAAGAGCAAAAATGGTAAACAGAGGCAGTGCTCTGCTGTCTGATCTCTGTGAAGCATGGGGCAGTCAGGTGGGACCTGAGTGGGGCTTGAAAGGCAAAGTTGTCTGGTTGGGGGAAACATGGGCAGCAGAAGTCTGGAGTTGGGGATGAGAAGGGAATGTACGGAAGAGCGTGAGAAGAGCAACCTCCGCCTCGCAGAGGGCACAGCCCTGTAGCTGAGAAGCCAATTGTGAATTTCCAGCAGGAGCCTGCTCCCGTGAGTCTGACGCCTGAATCTCCCAGGGATGCCTGGAGCTCCTGTGGCTCCAGCCAAAGTTGGGATGAAGTGGCTGCTGCATTAGCAGTTCTCTTTGTGTGACACCTGCTGAAGCCACTCAGATGCCCTGTGTCTCAGTTTCCATATTTACAGTTTACCCTCTCTAATGGACTTGCAAATGTAGCTTAGCTATAATGAATATAAATGTGTTTTTTAAATGTAATCTTTCTTCTAATGCAATTAACCTGAAGCTGGATATGAGCACCTTCCTATGATGTTGGAAAGCAGAGTCCCTGTATTGGATATAAAAGGCAAGAAGATCAAACAGAAAGGCCTGTTCACAGTGAGGGGGAGAGGACTAGGCCCTGAAGAGCCTTCAGCAAGCCTTGCTAGGCAGTTGGGAACTTAACCTGCAGGGGACACATGGTCAGGCTGGCACTGGTTTGTTGCTTGCTTAGTGACAGCCCCAGCAGCAGGGAGGTGGAAGATTTGGATGCCACAAGACCAGTTAGCCTGGTGAATCTGAGAAGCACCTACAGGTAGAATGACAGGATTTGGTGACAAACTGGATGTGAAGAGTTTAAGAGATGAGGATGATCTTGAGGATTCTGGAATAAATTGGTTTTAAGTTTATCTTGCTCATAACATGTCTCTACTAACCTTTCTCTGTTTTGAAGCTTTATGGTGTAGAAAAGAAGTCTTCAGTGCTAAATTCCTAGCTTATTCTAACTTGTCTAAACCCGAGACACACGCGAGAAATCTGTGCTTTGCATCTGAGCTTTCAGTTCAGACAGGTTTATTTTATTCTTCGGAATATATATTTGAAACCT